GAACAACCTGGCAAATAGTGAGGCCTCTTCCGTTGAGCTCCTTAATGTGTTTGTGTATGCAAATTGGCATCAGAGGTTGAGGAAAGCCAAAAGCCTTTTCACAATGGAGTAAAACAACATGGAGTTTCCAGGGAATCTGGGAAAAGAGGCTGAGAGCAGCAATGGGAGGAAAGAGGAGAGGAAGCTAGTGATATGCCATGATGGAATCCCCTCCCCAAGATTCCCAATGTCTCCAAGGGATTCTAAATGCCTAGAATGGCAGAATTTCTCAGGGAAGTCCATGAAGGTGCTTAACTCTGGGGCAGGGCTAAACAGTGAAGGCTTGTACAGACCACAGGAACCTTTGGCAAGAGGAGACCATAAAGCATAAATCATAGGACCCTGCAGAAATCGTATGGAGAGTTTGAACTTTCCCATTCGTGAAATTGGCAAGGCTCTGGGCCAATCCTACAGAGCTCTCTGGGTTAGGAGAGCCCCCGCTAGCTCCTGCTAACTTGACCCCCTTTAGTTCATCATCCACACCAACCCGAGTGTTCTTCCTCAGGGTGACGTGATCAAAGACATGCTCCTGACTTAAATTACTGTCCACAATCCAAAATTCTTCCTCCTGTCATCCACCACCCTTCATGATCTGGCCTCCATTTACCTTATCAGCTCCATCTCATCCTCACAGGACACTCTCAACTACATCAGACTTCCCTAAAATAGTAATCCTTCACTTCCTCTCCTTTACTTGATTAAAAACTTATACTTTTTTTTATTAAAGAAGTTTGCCTTATGCCTGACCTAATCATGGACTTCTATTGGTTTAAATTTATTTTTATTTTTTTAATATTTTATTGATTTTTTTATAGAGAGGAAGAGAGAGTTAGAAACATTGATGAGAAATATCGATCAGCTGCCACCTGCACACCTCCTACTGGGGATGTGCCCACAACCAAGGTACATGCCCTTGACCGGGACCCTTGAGTCCGCAGGCCAACGCTCTATCCACTGAGCATAACCAGTTAGGGCACCTATGCATTCTTTAAGACAAATTCAATAATCATCTCAGCCTTCTCATCCCCTCCAGAGTTAGCCATCCCCACCTATGATCGCCAACACCTTTTTCAGAGGGAGGGTTTTCTTCCTCTGGTCCCTTGAAAGAAGGACTATTATTAACTTCAGGGACCCAGTATCCAACACAGGCCAAGTTCAGGCTCTCCTATGGGAACAACTGTAACACAGATGTCATCCTACAGTGGACTACGGGTTTGTGTGCCAACCTCCAGCATTCAGAGGACACAAGGACCATGTCTTTATGGTCAGTATTCCTAGCAGCTAGGAGAGAAGGAAAGGAAGGAGGGAGAAAAGGGAGGAAAAGAGGAGAAGGGGGAGGAAGAAAGAGAATGAAGAAGAAAATAACACTAACAAAAAAGGAAGCCAGAGAGTGAATAAATTATCTAGTCAAGACTTAAAAGTCTGGACAACACAGAAACCGCAGCCCATGAACTTGGTCAAAAAAGGGCAAATGAGATTGGTCAGCAGATTATGTCCCATGATGAAAGCTGATGCCTTGTACATGGTCCTGGGTCTTACTAGCAGCAAAGACTCCCAAAGTCACAGAATGTGTCACTAAGGTCGGAAAGATGATACCCAGCTCCCCAGACTGAGAGGAGACAGGCAGGCCTGGCATGGTCATGGGTATAAAGAAGAGCTTGGCCTTGGAATCAGATGTACCAGATCTGAATCCCAACTGGGTCATAAAATTTTAACCTCTCAAAATTTTATCTTGAAAATGTGGATACTGCTAACTTGCAGGATAGTTACAGAGATTAAAGGTAAGAGATCTTCAATAACTGTTGCTCAACAGATGCTTGATAGATGGCGACCTTTATTATTAAGATGTGTGAGCATTCATACATGTCAGTTTGTTTGACTCTGTGTTTAAAATATTTTATATGGAGCCAAAGCCGGTTTGGCTCAGTGGTAGAGCATCAGTCTGCGGACTGAAAGGTGCCAGGTTCGATTCCGGTCGAGGGCATGTACATTGGTTGCAGGCACATCCCCGGTAGGGGGTGTGCAAGAGGCAGCTGGTTGATGTTTCTCTCTCATCAACGTTTCTAGCTCTCTATCTCTCTCCCTTCCTCTCTGTAAAAAATCAATAAAATATATATTTTTTAAAAAGAATATTAAGCTGGGACTGGTTTGGCTGAGGGGATAGAGCGTCGGCCTGTGGACTGAAAGGTCCCGGGTTCAATTCCAGGCAAGGGCATGTACCTTGGTTGCGAGCACATCCCCAGTGGGGGATGTGCAAGAGGCAGCTGATCGATGATTCTCTCTCATCAATGTTTCTAACTCTCTATCCCTTTCTCTTCCTCTCTGTGAAAAATCAATAAAAAATATTTTTTTAAAAAAAGAATATTAAAATATTTTGTATGGAGATTTTTAAGAAGCAGGGAAATGTATGTGAAATAAAAGTGCTTTGTAAACTGTAAAGTGCCATACAAATGTCAGGGGATCATTTGGGAAGTCTTTTATAGTTGGAAAAAATACAGGTTTTGGATTTGGGCAGAAGTAGGTTTAGTTCCTGACCCTGCCATTTACTTGCCATGTAATCATAATAAGTTATTTTCTGTCAGCCTGTTTCTGCCACTGTCAAATGTGCATACGTCTGACTTCACAGGGCTGTTGTGAAAATGCAGTGAGATGGAGAGTGGAAAGCTCCTGGGCACATCCCTTCCTGAGTAGGTGGCAAGGTCCCACGTGCAGTGTCAGTTCCAAGCCTGATGCCATAGTCTCATCCTGTCAACTGTCACATATGAAAAGGACCCTTCACTCCAGAGAAGCAGGACACCAGATGGGCAAGAAGTAGAGAGGGGTCTTTTGTATTTCTTGGAGGAAATCTGGTAAACACTAAACTTATATGTAGAAAGCACTGAACCAGTGTAGAACCAGGCCTAAATCAGGGCAGGAAGCGAAAATGATTCCTGCTAAGTTGTCCCAGACTTGAGCACTCAATTATTGCTCCTAAGACTCTCATTATGAGTTCATCTTATCCCGCCCTTCACCCACTACTCCCTGCCACTGTCTTTTTCCTAGACAAGCAAGTGCTCAATAAAGAGTCTAAACTTGAGCCTGCCCGGTGTGGCTCAGGGATTGAGCGTCGATCTATGAATCAGGAGGTCATGGTATGATTCCGTCAGGGCATATATCCGGGTTGTGGGTTTGATCCCCAGTGTGGGGTATGCAGGAGGAAGCCAATCAATGATTCTCATTCATTAGTGATGTTCCTCTCTACCTTCCTCTCTGAAATCAATAAAAAGATATATATTTTTTAAATAGTCTAAAGCTGAAAAGGTGGCACTAACTTCCTACAGAGCAAATAGTCCCAGGGCCCCATCAAGAGGCCATACTAGCTCCCACGTCCAGGCAATCCCTTGGACCCAGGCCAGCCCCCTAAGAGGCTCCTTCTTCAAAGCCAACAAGGTGAATGTAGTGAAAAAACATCATCTTAGAATCAAGGGAGACTCAAGCTATAACTCCAGTTCTGCCACATATCTGCTGTGTGACTTCACAGCAAGTGATTTCCCTTTCCTCACTGCTGTTTCATTTTATTCCCTTGAGGGTTGCTGTAACAACTAAATGATATAAAGAATGGAAATGGGAGCCCTGGTTGGTTTGGCTCAGTGGTCAGTGTGTCAGCCTGAGGACTGAAAGGTTTGATTCTAGTCAAGTGCACATGCCTGGTTGCAGGCTCAATCCTGGTGGGGGAGGGGGGGAGGGCAGACACCCAAGAGATGGCTGATCAATGATTCTCTCTCATCATTGATGTTTCTATCTCCCTCTTCTCCTTTCCTCTCTGAAATCAATAGAAATATGTGTGTGTGTATATATATATATGTGTATATATATATATATATATATATATATATATATATATATATATATTTTTTTTTTTTTTTTTTTTTTTTCATGGAAATGTGAATGGTAGCCCTAGCCAATCTGGCCTAGTGGATGGAGCGTCGGCCTGTGGACTAAAGGGTCCCAAGTTTGATTCTGGTCAAAGGCACATGCCTGGGTTGCGGGCTCAATCCCCAGTGAGGGGTGTGCAGGAAGCAGGTGATCAATGATTCTCTCTCATCATTGATGTTTCTATCTCTATCTCTCCCTTTCCCTCTTCCTCTCCCTTCCTCTCTGAAATCAATTATATATATACACACACACACACACACACACACACACACACTTTTTTTTTAATGAAATGTGACTAGTAGAATCTATGGCATATAATGAATGCTCAATTAATGTTAATTTCTTTCTTTTCTCTTCAAAGGCCCAGAGACAGCCTGCTTCCCTTTGCTTTTCAGAACCACCACCCATCTTGTCTTTCTTGAAATTCAACTCTCTTCCAGAGTAGCTGCGGAGAGACCAGCTCCCCACTTCTTGGATGCCCCCAAATAAGTACACAGATCCTTTTCATTGAAGGGTTTTACTGCTGATCACTCAGGGAACAGAGGCAGGTTGGGGTCGGGATAACAAGTCTCACATGTGGGGAGTGAGCAGGTCCCAGATGATGGCTCCCTGAGGGCTTCCCTCCGTTTCTAAGGCAGGGCCTCCTCTCCAGGCTGCGGAGGAGCACAGTGGATGGAACCAGCAGGCCACTGCAATGGGCCCTCAGCGGTTCATACATAACGTGGTGCCCATCCCAAAGGCCAGGGACAGCTGCCCTAATGAAGTGAGCATGTACTAAACCTGCCCTCTTTCTCTTTCGCCCCAAGGAGATGAAGCCAAGACCAGATCCTCTGACTTCCCAAGGCAAAATATCTGCGTGGAAGGGAACAAAGATGTTTACTCAGAATCCCTTCTGAGGACTTTCTGGAGAGATCCTGGCTTCAGAGGCAATAGGAAACCATTCTCCGCAGTGGGGAGAAGGGCTTGAGGTCAAAGGGCGGCAGCAAATCCTAAAGATCTTCCTACACTAAGTTGGGGGTCTCTCGTTCCCTCTCTCCCTCGCTCCTTCAGCTGGAGTCTTTCCCAGCCGGCTCTCCCATGTGCGTCTTCTGGTGGCGGATGAGATTGGAGCTCCGAGAGAAGTGTTTCCCACACAGCGTGCACCAGTATGGCTTCTCCCCTCGGTGAGTCCTCTGGTGTGCTCCAAAGTTGGAGATGTCGCTGAAGGTCCGCCCGCACTCGGTGCACTCGTAAGGCCTCTCGCCCGTGTGGGTGCGGTGGTGCACCCCAAAGCTGGAGCTGTTGCTGAAGCTCTTCCCGCACTCACAGCAGATGTAGGGTGCCGGCTCGAGGTGGGTCCGGCGGTGCACGGCCAGCGTGGCGCTCTGGCTGAAGCTCTTGCCACAGATGTCACAGCGGTACGGCCGCTTGCCCAGGTGGTCTTGCTGGTGTGTGGTGAGATCCGAGCGCCGCCGGAAGCTCTCCTGGCACCTGGGGCACTTGTAGTGCTTCTCCTCCAGGTGGATCCGCTCGTGCCGGATGCGGTTGGAGCTCCTCGAGAAGCTCTTGCCACATTCAGAACATCTGTAGGGCTTCTCGCCCGTGTGGATCCGCTGGTGCGTTCTCAGGTTGGAGGTGTTGTTGAAGGTTTTGCCACACTGGGCACATACAAAGGGCTTCTCGTCGGCCTCGAGTCTTGACTGGATACCGGGGTCCCCCGGCTCTCCACTGGGGACGCTGGCTTTCTGCCAGGGCTTTCTGGGATGGATCCCTCGTGGTCTCTCGGACAGGCTCTCCGGCCCATGCTCTTTCTCCCCATCTGGGATGCGAAAACCCGCTGGGTCGTCCGCTCTCCAAGGCTTACCCCGCTCCCCTTCCTCAGGCAGGTGCTGTTCTGGATTCTGCTCCTTCTCACTGCCCATCTCTGAATCCTGAGAACGAACACAAATGGCCAACACCTTTATTCCGTGGGTCAGGCCAGGCCACGGGGAATCTTGTGCTGTTTGAAGAGGTAAACACCTTCCCCGTGGGACCAGCCATCAGAAGTAATCTCAACTAACGGGAAAACTTGCATAGAACGCTTTTACTTACTAACTTGGAAGCGAACAAACTTCCAGATATTTAAAGCTACCAAACCAGAATGAAAAGGAACCACTCTGTCCACCACCACAGGTCATATTTGTGCAATTAAATAATGTCATTCTTCTTCATACCACGAAACGATAACAGTCCACACTGTAATTTATGTGCAAGTGAAGGACTTCCATTTTAGAATGAGTTCAGTTCTCCTGCCTAACTGTAAGTTAGCTGAAACTCGTGTTTAAATCTTTTTTATTTTTAACCTTCCTTAAAAGTATCCATCTATGTGCCTGCTTTCAAAATGAACATAGCAGAACCTCTAATTCTTGAGGCTCTCCTGGTTGTTTACCAGGCCCATCTCTGAATCCTCTTAGGTGTTCTGTCCCCTTCCTTTCCCTTCCTCGGACCTCACTATAATCCAGCAACTAACGAGTGAACACCTGAGACCTCTAAGACCTACTGCAGGGTCTGGGCTGTGTGTGTTCTGATGGGTCAGTACACACTTCCACGCTCAAACACCATACACAGCCACATGCACGCACACATGCTCACACCACATGCACAGCCATACTCACATACCAGACACACTCAGCCCTATTCTCACACTACACATACATATCACAGTCACACATACACACACTTATACCACACACATGCATATCATATACACCATTCACAACCCTCCCAGGACAGTGGTCTGCAAACTCATTAGTCAACAGAGCCAAATATACTCAGAGTCCCTTCTCAGGACTTTCAGTTAAAAAATCTCAGGACCTGGCTATGTACTCACACACATATAGCTGCACTCTTTTTTTTTTTTTTCTTTTACAGCTATACTTTTATACCACATGCAATCTCACACACATATACACGGCCATATACTCACGTGCTACATACACACAGACAAGAGACAAGATACACAAATCACACCCACACACAAAGCTATATACATGGACACACAAACCACACACACGCAGCTATACAAACACATACACACAAACCACACTCCCTCACACAGAGCTATACAAACACATACACACAAACCACACACACACACAGCTATACAAACACATACACACAAACCACACACACACTCAGCTATACAAACACACACAAACCACACACACACACAGCTATACAAACACATACACACAAACCACACTCCCTCACACAGAGCGACACACACAGTGACTAGCACAGGGCCTACTTATGCAAACATCTGTAAATGCTTGCTAAGCTGCATCCATCCTTTTGAGGTCTTGCAGCCAAGAACAGAGAATGAAGGGAAGAAAACGTACTTCTTGTAAGAGGAGAGTGAGGTGCTTCCTGTGGGCCTTGGAGAAATAACATTTCAGAAGGCAGAGCGGGCTGCTGAAGATGCAGTGGAGTGACATGAACAAAGGGATGAGGGCGGGAAGCACACACTATGAGAGCGCACTGATGATAACATGAAAGACTGATACTTCCTTCAGGTCAGCAAGTATTTTTGAAAACAGCAACATCAAGTAACAGAAGGGACACTGACTACATTTAGGATTGGATCCCAGCGTAACACATATTATCTTTAAAACTGCAATTATTCAACCACTCTGAACCTCAACTCCCATGTCGCTAAAATTGTGTGACCTACCTACACTGCGTTAGAGAAGATGCCAAAGCATGCTCAGGGCAGTGGGTGGCATGGACTAGCCATTCAGCAAATGACAGCTACTCTTACAGTCGTTGGAGGCACCGTTTCCTAGACCTGTGGAGAATACAAGAATGGAAAAGATCCCGTAAGTGATCTTGTTAAGAAAAAAACATTTTTTTAATTGAAAAATGGTACAAGAACACTCTGGTTAGGTGGCTCAGTTGGTTGGAACATTGTCCCATACACCAAAAGGTGACGGGTTCGGGTACGATTTCCGGTCAGGGCACATACCCGGGTTATGGGTTCCATCCCCAATCAGGGCACATATGGGAGGTAACTGATCAATGTTTCCCTGACACACCGATGTTTCTCTCTCTCTCCCCCTCCCTTCCTCGTTTTCCTTTCCTTTCTCTAAAATGAACAAAATCATATCCTTGGGTGAGGATTTTAAAAAATGATACATGACTGTATATAATCTAAATTATGAAATTTGGACAGAGCCTCAAATCTTTAAGTAGGATCAGAAAACGTTTTCTGTAAAGGGCCAGAGAGTAAATATTTAGTAAATATCTGGGGCCACAGAATCTCTGTTGCAACTCTGCTGTTTTATTCTATTATAAAAGCAGCCATAAACAAATGTGGCTGTGTCTGAATAAAACGTTATAAACAAAAGGAGGCCAGCTATAGTTTACCAATCTCTGTTGCAAAGTGTTTCTTGCTGAGCAATGTGAAAAATAGGCTTGTTTCACTTCCAAATATGCAGCTAAACATCAGAAAGTTTATTCCTTGATACCTATTCGCTGTTTCCTGATCATCCTTTTAAAAATCACACCCGCTCCCACACTTCCAGTCCCTGTGCCCAACAGTACTTCTCACAATCTAACATTGCACTGATTTATATGTCTTTTATATATGATCTGCCTCCCTACCCTCTGCTAAAACGTAAGTCCCATGAGGGCCAGGGTCTTTGTTTTATTCACTAATGTAACTTCAACTCCCAGTGCCGTGGTCGGCAAACTGCGGCTCATGAGCCACATCAGCTCTTTGGCCCCCTGAGTGTGGCTCTTCCACAAAATACCACGGCCTGGGCGAGGCTCTTTTGAAGAAGTGGCATTAGAAGTTTAAGATTAAAAAATGTGGCTCTCAAAAGAAATGTCAAATCGTTGTACTGTTGATATTTGGCTCTGTTGACTAATGAGTTTGCCTACCACTGTCTTAGAGTATTGGCAGTCAGAGTAGATCCTTAATAACTATCTGTTGAATGAGTTGAATAACTGAAGGCCAGGCCTGCCTCCTGAACCCGTGGCATGCTTGTGTCCATCCTCGCCCACTCAGCAATCTCTTCATTCCTGCCCTTGTCCTCCTTTATGCCCCCACAGAATCGTGCACTTGCTGTTACAGTGATTTGTAATTTACAGTGTATCCATTTACATGTTTGTTTCCACTAGGTTACAAGTAACTTGAGGGTAGGACTCGATCATTTTGTTAATCTCTCCCCAGCACAAGGCCCAGTGCCCAAATGTTGTTAAATGTGCTTGAATATGTCCTTAAGTCACTCCCCACCCCTGCCCACCTCACCAACGGCTCCATGCCATAAGCTATACAGCCTCTACTCACTTCGAATCCTGCTACCCTGAGAACTTACTAGTACACTTTACCTCGCTGATTCTACCCTGGCCTGAATGCTGGGTCAAAATAAGAGCAAAGGGATTTAGGGCTGTGGTTACTATCCTCAAACAGTTATGGTTCAGTGCAGGGAAATGGGCCACGAACTCCAGAAACTCTTGTACAGTAGAAGGTTAAGTTTCAGAAGGTTAAGACAGGGATATGCCTTAGTCGCCTTTGTATTCACTCCTCAGTGCCTCATACAGCACCTGGCACATTATACAGGATAATAGTTATTAATAATAGTTAACGTTTCTTACGCTCATTCCAAGTGCTAGGCTATGGACTAATCACTACATATGAATCGGCTCCTTTCATTCTCACAACTTAATTTAGATGAGGAAACTGAGGCTCAGAGAGATTCCCATCATTCCAAAGCCAGTGCCACACTAGTGTTGAAGGGAGAGAGGGAGGCAGAGAGGGAATGAAGGAGGAGAGAGGGAGAAAGGGGAGGAGAGAGGGAGGGAAGAGGGGAGAAAGGAGGACGGACAGAGAGAGGAAAAAACAGTGCCACGGGATCTCCAGACAGGGGCATTCTTCCCTGAAGCGGTGAGGGATGAGCAGCTTCATGAAAAAGGTGGAATTCCAGCTAGGGCTTTCGGGATGGGTATGACGGGGACTCACAGACAAGGGGAACCCACTAACTACTGAAAAGACAGCGGCAGGTAAAGTACAGAGGCACCTTCCTATCACATTCCAGAAGCTTGGGTGAGAACGGGGCCCACCCTGGTTGTCTTCCCGGGAGGCTCAGAAGTACAAAGAGGCCCCGAAGTGGAAGGGACGCTGGCCGGGGAGGAGGAGCCAGGTCTAAACAGTAAGAGCCAAGAAGATGGGGCTGGTCAGATGCTGAAGTCCAAAGGCCGGGACTAGAGGGAAGAGACCCAGCTGGAAGTTGGGATGAAGGGCTGAAGTTTGGGTGCTTTAGGGTCCAGTCAACAACTGGAGGGAAGAAAGGGTAGAGCTTGGAAAGACCAGAGAAGAGGGAACTGCACAAACAGATCAGAGACAGAGGAGGATCAAGGATTGCGGGGGGGGGGGACGACGGTCCAGAGAAGATGGTCAGGGGACAGGGCGCAAACGCTGCCATCAGAGGTGTCAGGGCGGAGTCCGAGGGTACGAGCCTCTGGGGGACAGGAGCCGGAGGGGTGGGATAGGGGGCGGGAGGCTGACCCCAAATATATAGTCAGTGCCAGGGGGGCTGGAGTCCTCAAAGGCCAACAGGAGAAGGGCCCGAGGGGCAGGGCTGGAGCCAGCAGGCTGGCGCGCGGGGCAGGGAGGACAGGGGTCGGGATCACAGGGCCCGCTTTGCCCCCTACTGGGTCCGGGGAGCAAAGCCACAACCTCCGGCTTCCCGGGGAGATGGAAGGAGCCACGCTCAGAGTCCCCGCGGAACCATGTCTGCCGCCCCCGTGTCCGCGGGCCCAACCCGGACCCACCTCGCTCCCGCCGCTCGGTCAGGGACAGCGCCGCCTCCGGGAGCCGGGGCGGAGCCGGAGCCGGAACCCGGAGAGGACCCGCCCTGCCAGTGCAGAATTGGCTTCGGAGAACGGCCTCTCTTTCCTATTGGCTCTACTGGCTGCCAAAACGCAAGAAAGCCGAGCGGGCCCGCCAATCAGCAGCGCGCTCGGTGGTGGATTGTGGGAATTGTAGTCCTGAGGAAAATCGTAGCCTCGAAGAGATGTGCCAAGTTTAGAACCCCCGCCTGGACACTGGGTTTCCTCCTGAGGTCCTCGGATTCCCTTCTGTGCTTCAGCGTAAAAAGCCCCATGTAGGGCCACTAGCCTGGGAGTGGTAGACTAGGTAGAGCTAACCTACATGACCTCCATGAGCTAGATGATGACTCTGGTCCTGAAGACATTCCACTAAGCCTAGAGTCCTGAGCCTCAGTCGAAGTTCGTAGAGGTTCATCATTCAAAGTCAAAGAATTGTGGAACTGGGAGGGAGTTTAGAGATCAACCAGTTCAACCCACTAATCAGAGAAGCGAAACCTTCCCTGTCCTAGGACCTCCAGGTCTCCTGACACCCCTGCACAGGGATTTTTCTGGGTCCTATGTAGTTAAACCTGACCATCAATCCTGACGGAACAAGCTCACCAATGTATATCCAAGATTAGGATCCCCCCCCCCCCCCTAGGTTTTGCTTAACAACAACAAAATAGTCTAATTTAATAAGTAGGCTAAAGTTCTATAGGCTTCTCATATCTGCAGGCTATTTTAGTGCAAAAAAGTATTGACTTCAGAGCTAAGTAAACCAGATTTCTGATCCCAGTTCTCACACCTAGCCTCAGGGGAGGAGCAGCATTTTCCTCCCCTGTAAAATTTCTGACAGAATTGTTGGGAAGCTATAGCAAGCTCTGCCCCCACAAACGCCAAGTCTCTTTCCTGGTGGTAAATTCTCTTGGGTGCATCCAGTGTGGACAATGTTAGTTTTATGATTGGGATATTCCAGAAAGTGGATTTGAAACTGGATATGGATGAGAGAAATATCAATTTGCTTATAAATTGATTTAAATAAAATGCTAAGAAGACAGACTCCAGTTTTTGTTCAGTATAACTGAGTACCCATCTGAAAATTCACAGCTAATATCTCTACCAGAAATAGACTGTAGCTTTATTTTTAACTGTGTTTTGAGCAGCTTAACTGTGTTTAACTGTAACTTTATCTTTAACTGTTGAGATAGCCCCTTTGAGTGGATTCAAGGCGGTTTGGAAACTAATCCCATACTGTGTTTTCCTCTTATCAGAACCAAAGCCTTTTCCTACAACTTTTCATTCACAATGAAAATAACAACAATGAATACCAAACTTTTATTTAAAAACTGTACAAAAGCAAATAAAAATTTCTACTTGGGCCCTGGCTGGTGTGGCTCAGCTAGTTGAAGTGTCATCCCATACACCAAAAGATGGCGGGTTCCATTCCTAGTCAGGGCACATACCCAGGTACCCAGGTTGTGGGTTTAATCACCAATCAGCCTGCATACTGGAGGCAACCAATGGAGGTTTCTCTCTCTCTCTCTTTCTCTCTCTCCCCCTCTCAAATCAACAACAACAACAATAATAATAATAAAAATAAACATTCTGTAATGAGGACTTTTTTTTTTTAAAGAAAGAAAAATTCTACTTGGTGATTAATTTTGTGTATCAACTTGATTGGACTGCAGAATGCCCCAATATTTGATCAAATATTATTCTGGATGTTTCTGTATGGGTATTTTTGGATAAAATTAACATTATTATCTTGAGTAAAGTAGATTGCTCTCCCTAACATGGTGGGCCTCGCCAATCAATCGAAGGCATGAATAGAACCAAAAAAGCTGACTCTTTCCCTAGTAAAATTCTTTCTGCCTGACAGCCTTCAGACTGGAATTATATCACAGGACCTCCTGGATCTTGGGCCTTCAGACTCAGATAGGAACTAAATAAACCAGTGATTCCCCTGGACCTTTCCAACCTGCTGACTAACCCTACAAATCTTGGGACTTGCCATCCTCCATAACCACATGAGCCAATTTCTTATCATCTCTCTCTCTTTCTCTCTCTCTCTCTCTCTCTCTCTCTCTCTCTCTCTCTCTCTCTCTCTCTATATATATATATATATATATATATATATATATATATATATAATATACTAATACAGGCACTACACAGTGACAGAGGGAACTTCTGACAGAAAGATCCAGTTTTTGTTGGGTAGGAGTGAGTACCCATCTGAAAACGAATAGCCAATATCTCCAAAAAAAGAGGCCAGATCACCTCTGTGGTATGACTTGAAAGCGACTAAGCTTCTTTCTGAAATCCACACCAAAAATCTGACTCATTATTTTATCTTCACACCTAGTCTATCAATTTCCTTTCTAAAATCAATACTCTGACCCAGGAGTCTGCTACACCAAGCATGTCAAACTCACGGCCTGGGAGCCTCGTGCCTCGTTTATTTGGCCCATGTTAGCTTTTGAGTTTGACATGCTTGTGCTACACAAATAGTCAAGTCTTCCAGGATAATGTCCTGTGGTGGAAAACTGTCCATATTGTGGTTAAAACTGCCACTTTTTCTAGCAGGGCCTCTCTAATCTCAAAAGGGTATCGGAAAGGGCCAGCACAGCAGACAGACTTACCCATAGCTGCCTTTCCAAGGCCTCACCCAGCTGCCTGCTGTGTGAAGTTGTGTTTACCAGTTCCTTGGTTTGCTCCTGGGGCTTTTCAGGGTTACAGCTACCACTCTAAAATGCCTGTATCTGGGCATCAGCAACAGGTAAATCAGCTTTGAAAACGTACATTGGCTCTGGGCACCACAAAACGATGCTCTGGGCACCAAAGAACGAGCGTGTGATCCACACATGATTATTTTTAAAAAGCTGGCTTTGGGGGCTAAAGGCGCGAACTAAAACAGAGAGAAAAGCGATTCTTGATGACATACATAAGAAGTCAGGGAATGGGCCCCATACCATCACAACCAAAAGCCCAAGTTTAAGCCCTAACTGGTTTGGCTCAGTGGATAGAGCTTCGGCCTGCAGAGTGAAGGGTCCCGGGTTTGATTCCGGCCAAGGGCACATGCCTGGGGTTGTGGGCTCCATCCCCAGGAAGGGGCGTGCAGGAGGCAGCCGATCAATGAATCTCCCTCATCATTGACATTTCTATCATTCTGTCCCTTCCCCTTCCTCTCTGAAATCAATAAAGAAATATTAAAAAAAAAAAAAAAAAAAAAAAAAAAAAAAAAAAGGCCCAAGTTCAGGATGTGATCAAATGAAGTTTCTCTTACATAGCCCCTCGAACGGAGAACCCCGGATCTCAGACACACACTCATCGTCCCCACCTAGCCCTAATTCTGATTGCTCACTTGGTTTTCCAGAATTCTTCCGAGGCAATGAGAACTTCAAGTCCCGAAAAGGGGACAGGGTTCAGAAACGGGAGAAAGCTGATTACACGAAGAGAACCACAAATGGGTCTGGACTTGGGGAAAGGAGATGAGCAGTTCCAGAGGCCGGTGTGGGGCCAGGAGTCTGAAACCCAGAGAGCCCTGGGCCGGATGGTCGGGGAGCAGCTCCCTAAAAAGAGGGAACCTTGAGCCCCTGGAGCGCCGGGCCCAGATCAGGGGACCAGGGCCGGAGGGAAGGGTCCACCTTGAGGGCCACGTCTCCGTTGGCGTGGCCTTTCCCCTCGGGCTTGGGGGCCACGGGCTCCTCCGGTGTGTGGGGCTCCGAGCAGATGACCAGAGGGGCCGTGTTCTTCCCTCCGTCGTGCAGGCAGGGTTCAAAGAAGGGGCGGAGCGGGCCGGAGAAGGCGTCGTGGGTGAAGGTGAAGATGTGGGACCGGTCGGAGGCGTCGTAGAAGGAGATGACGCCCGCGTCGTAGTCCAGGAAGACGCCCACGCAGCGCGGGGGCTCCCGCAGGCGCAGCGGGGTCTGCGGGGACGTGAGCGCCTCGAGCTGGGCGCCGCGGCTCTGCCGCACCAGCCAGTGCCCGTTGGCGGGCGAGGCCGTGACCTTGCCCTTCCTGCTCACCGCCTCGCGGCACACGCCCAGGATCCACTTGGTCTTGTCCGCCACCAGCACCTCCCAGTAGTGGCAGCCGGCCTCAAAGGCCTCGGCGCCCAGCACGCTGACCACGAAGTCGAACCGCTGCGGGGTGTCGGGCACAGGCTGCCTGCGGTCCCCCAGCTTCACGCTCCGGCGGTCCTCCGACAGGATGAGCTTGGGATGCGCGGTGTCGGGGTCCAGGGTCACGGCAACTACAGAGAGAGAGAGGGACAGAGAAGGAAAGGTTTGGGAGGGCTGGGTGGCTTTGGGCGGGGAAGATCACCTCTGGGTCAGCAACCCCTGTCCTTGGACCCGTTTTAGTGTATGATTCCTTCTACCCCATCTGTACCCCAACCAAAGAAAAGTGTCGCCCTAGCCGGTTTGGCTCAGTGGATAGAGCGTCGGTCTGCGGACTGAAAGGTCCCGGGTTCTATTCCGGGCAGGGGCATGCGCCTTGGTTAAGGGCATATTCCCAGTGGGGGGTGTGCAGGAAGCAGGAGGTAGCTGATCGATGTTTCTCTTTCATCAACGTTTCTGACTCTCTCTTCCTCTCCCTTCCTCTCTGTGAAAAATCAATAAAATATATTTAAAAGCCAAAACTGGTTTGGCCCAGTGGATAGAGCATTGGCCTGAGGACTGGAAGGTTCCAGGTTCAATTCGGGTCAAGGGCATGCTCCTTGGGCTCCTTGGTTGCTTACACATCTCCAGTGGGGGGTGTTCAGGAGGCAGCTGATCGATGTTTCTCTCTCATTGATATTTCTAATGCTCTATCCCTCTCCCTTCCTCTCTGCAAAATTTTTTTTTTTTAAAGAAAGAAAGAAAAGCATCTTCTGATCTCCTAGATCTCCTGGTCATGTGTTTAATAAAACAGGAGAAAGTTGTCCTTAATCCCTCACAGTGGTTGACCACTGCCTTAGGAAATACTGCCTTTGTCCTCAGTGGTCCGAAGGGGAGCTAATGCAGGATAATAAACCTTGGCTCAGATGTCAGACCCAGAAACCACACTGCAAGTTGAAATCCCAGCTCTGCCACATGCTAGTTATGTGGCCTGGGGCCTGCTATTCATCTCCAAACCTTAATTTCTTCATCTGTAAAATGGGAACAATGGCAGACCCTATGCTGTCAAGCTGTTGTGCACATTTGATGAGGTAGTGCCTCCTTCCAATGAGCATCCGATGTGTGATGCTCATTTTGTTAACTGAAATTATTGCTCATAATTATTATTTTTACTAGTAAATGTTAATAGAGAAAGAAGGATTCTTTCTTAAAATTGTGGAAGGTCATGGTGAGTCTTCCCCCAGGACAGAAAACAGACACTTCTTGGAAAGTTAAATCTGTAAAATGTGTGTTTTGCCCAGGTGGTGGGAATAAGCCAGACTGTGAGTGTGAGAAAGACTTGTGAATTCCCAGAATGGCAACCGAGGTGACCTGGTGTGCTCTCAAGCGGCCAACTCATCAGTTCCACCTGCCTGAAGGAAAGGGGAGTGAACAAAAGGGGCATGAATAGATTGGAAAATTGACAAGGACCCAATCAGGGAAATTAACAGATCTCATTAAAACAGCAAAAAAAAAAAAAAAAAAAAAAAAAAAAAGCAAATATTTAGGAATAAATTAAGAGAGATGCACAAATCTTTTAGAATAAAACTACAAAATCGTTTGTAGTCTACAATGTTGAGGCGCCTGCGTAGCCCTTCCCCTTCTTTTCTGAGAACCTCAATCACCAACCCTCGAAGCAAGAAGAGTGTGGCAGATGTGGATACTGATAGAGGAACACTGGCTATTTACTCAACAGTGGAATAAGAAGGACTTCTAAAACCTGAAAGCACAGAGGAAACTACACAGGAAAAGGTTTTGTTTTGTTTGTTTGTTTGTTTTAAATATATTTTATTGATTTTTCACAGAGAAGAAGAGAGAGGGATAGAGAGTCAGAAACATTGATGAGAGAGAATCATCGATCAGCTGCCTCTTGCACACCTCCCACTGGGGATGTGTCCACAACCCAGGTACATGCCCTTGACCGGAACCGAACCTGGGACCTTTCAGTCCGCAGGCTGACGCTCTATCCACTGAGCCAAACCAGTTTCGGCCAGGAAAAGGTTTTTTAATTGGACTACATAAAAACAAGACACTAAAAATAATATAAGGAAATTAAAATGCAAATGAAAAACTCAGAAAAATAATTTGGGAGGAATTGGACAGAGCTTCTACACTTTATATAGGAAGAATCCTCACATATCAAATAGCATAGCCAGAATAGGGATAAGAGCAGACAAGTCATGGAGAAGACATATAAATAACCAATATACTTTCTAAGTCTAACTGAGCCCTCCCACAAAAGAAGTCACAAAGATTTATTTTTTTTTTTTTTAGTTTGATAAGCAGGTAAATAGGTTTGATTACAAAAAAAAAAAAAAAAAAAAAAAAAAAAAAAGAAACAAAACAAAAAGACAGTCCTATCCCAAAGGAACAGAGCTCTGGGCTCTGAAATGTAGCTGGGTTTGCCTGGGGTAACTTACCGAAGTGCAGCCGGGCCCTTCTCCAGCCTGAAAGACAGAAAAGGGATTGTAAACGGGAAGGAGACCAGGAGAACCCCCAGAAGGAGGAGCCAGGCGCCCAGAAAATGCATCTCACCTGAGTTGGCTGCAGCTCTTTTCAACTCTGTAAAAAAAAAAAAAAAAAAAAAAAAAAAAAAAAAAAAAAAAAAAAAAAAAAACAGGAGGGGTGAGCTATCACTGAAAATACAGAATCAGCAGGAGGGAATTTGGTATAGAACGACATGGGAAACTTACTCAGTTCACTCCGGAGTTTCTCTAAAGAATAAAAACAGTTTGACCAATCAGAAGGAGGGCTTCCACATTTCCATAATGCTGCGGTCCCCTCCCAACCACATCAGACCCTCTCTAGCAATACCCTGACCATCCCAGCCCCACCCCAGGAGTCTCCAGAGATACTCTGCAGAGGGCCAGCACATTCCCAAGTAAGCCAAACCTGACCGCGACTCATTGAATAACACATCTCACGCATCCAGGTAATATATGTAATATATGTAGATATTGTGAGAGAACAATAAAATATAAGCTCATTTAAAACTATCACTGAGCCCTGGTTGGTGTTGCTCAATGGTTAGAATGTTGGCTCCTGCACTGAAGGGTTGCAGATTCAATCATGGTCAAGGGCACGTACCTGGGTTGTGGTTTGCCCCCACCCCATCCTGTGAGGGCACCTGGAAGGCAACCAGTTAATGTGTCTCTCTCACATCGATGTTTCTCTCTCTCACTCCCTCCCACCCTCCCTTTCACTCTCTCTGAAAAGCAGTGGAAAAATATCCTTGGGTGAGGATTAACAAACAAAAACTATCACTGAATTTCCATTAGACTTTTCTTGTGTTCACTTAATCAAGGTAAAACAAAGTAGACATGTCATGTCTGAAGATTCTTCTTTCGCACTAAAGAGGGTCTCATACATGAGGTGGAGAAACGCTGCTCCACGTGTTCAGTTTAATGGGGACCGCTTGCCTGGGATCCCTCCGAAGGGCATGCCACGCCTGGCGATAAAAGGTCTTCCAGGCGGCTTCCCCTACAGGAGCTACATCTCCTCCTGATTAACATTTCCCTCTCAGAGACTGGGACCTAGTGATGGTCCGTGAGGTCCGAAAGGTTGGCGACCGCTGGACTAGGTAACTGCTGTGCAGGAAAGGGGAGCGGGGAATATTTGAGAAGAGAGAAGTCTCCAACCCCATGGTGTAAAGCACCCTGACCCCTCTCTTCTGCCCCAGGACATGAAACTGAGACACCCATCCTAAAGCGGAGATGTTGGCAGGAGGAGGTCCGTGCCGCGGATGAGGAGCAGGACTTACTGAGGGCTTTATGGAGCCTTCCTGAAAAACAGAGAAAGAGGCCTGAGTGAGCAGAGGCTCTGCTTTATCCCTGAGCCCAGGGAGGCTCGTCCCCCATCCCCCCACTGTGGAAAGGATGATATTCCTGTCAGCTGCTGGCGCCCTCACCTCCCTCCCGAAGGCAGCCTGGGGAAGCAGTGGAGCTGGGGCCACTTTCCCAGAGACCAGGCTCCTCCCTCCTTTCCATCTGGTTCCATTTCCGCTATCTAGAGGAGTGTTCCCATATGTTTGTAACCATGTGTACATGAGAGTGTGCCTTGCTGCCCTTTTATAGCCTACTGTTTGTACTATCTCCAGCGAAGGCCTAGCATTGACTTGTGGACATGGCTCTATCACTCTGGACAGTAACTCTCCTGAAGTCCTACGAAGAGACTCAGAGATTTGGAGATTTTAGGTGGTGTGGGATGTATGTATATGCTTGGGATGAATGTATATGGATGTATGTGGACGTGTGTATGTATATGGATGTGTATAATATGTATGTATGTATGTATATGCTTCACATGCTCCCAGGAGCATTGGCCTTGCCAGAGAATTGAAATTATACATTTGAGTCCATTGCCAAGTCCTGTGCTAAGGGCTGGGCCTGTGTTAAGCATTAGGCACTGGAGCAATGAAGCCGGATATGATATGGCCCCTCCGGAGCTGTTGATTTATGTCTATATTAGTGTTATTAATCTTAATGTTATAGTTATATAAAGATTAATCATTCTATTAATGTGATTCATTATGTTAAGTATACATTATATTATTTATATATAATATCGACATAGTATACGTATTTCCACTACTATTAGCCTCCATTTATGGTGTCCTGTTCTCATAATGATGTAGGTACTCAACCCTCTTGACAATGTGAGGTGCATAGAATTATTGTTCCTGGGTCTGAAGCTCAGAGGGACATGGGAATTTGCCCAGGTCATCCATTTAGTAAGTGGCCAAGGAGACAGGCTTCAAGTCCAAATGTGTCTGACTCCTAGCATTCCCTCATCCACTGCCACCTACCTCATAGCCCCCCATACTGGAAAGTAAATTCCAATAATATTAATGGGGAATATGTGTGTGTATATACCTGCATCATGTATGTGTAATAATAGACTGTGAGCATTTATGTAGGAGGGGAAAGAATATGTTAATTGTTCCCTACCCCCTTCATATAATTACCTTTTTCTTTTGCATGGTCTTCAAGAAGAGTTTCTAGAGGGAGAAAAGTAACAACAACAAAATAAAAAAATGGGATTCTGCGACATTAACCTTGAAGGTCCCTGATTCTTACCGATTTTACCTGCTTTTAAATCTGTTCCCCGCTACCACCATTGCCACCTCCCTAATCCAGGCCCTCATCCTCTCGCTTCTGGATGATGGAACTAGTAGCTCAAATGGCCTCCAACCCTGTCTTGCTCCTTCTGGTCTCTTCCCAACACTGCAGCCAGAGAAAGCTGCTCAGAGCACAGTTCTGATCAAAATATCCCACTGCTTTACCTCCACCCAGGAGAGAAAGACTGAGGTTCTCACACGCCTTCCAAGGCCTCACACGGCCTGGCCCTGCCTACGTCTGCAGCTTGGTCCCCTATCAGCTCCCTCTTTACTTCTTCACTGTTTCTTTCTCTAGCTGTGCTTTCTCTGTGGGTAGTTTTCTGTTCCCTCTCCCCCCATGCCTCCCCCTCCTCCAGATCAAACATCACTTCCTCTGGGGACTCTTCTCCTGTCCCTGAAGCTTGGTTAGTTCCTCCTGATCATCATCTTCACAGCCTCCAGAACTTCCACTTGTGGCATCTGTATGGCTGTACTTCTACATTGATTTGTGCAATTATTTCATTCGATAGACCTCGGAAAGCTCCCAGTGACAAAGACTGCCTGCTATGACTCACCATTGTATTTCCGGCATATAGTCTAGTCCAGGGCCCTTAGCAGACAATTATCAATTATTTAAACCTACACAACTCACCCAGAATAAGATCAAGCAATGAGTCCACAGACAAAACTCAACAAACACTGAAAGATAAGCTATAACAAGTCAGAGTCAGCAAACACTGTCAGATGTTGGGATTTTCCGGCCTAGAATGTAGATTAGTGGACACTGGAGTCATAAAAATGAGTAAAACAGAGGAACATCCCCACCCATCCCAGGACACTTACCTACCTCCACCACCTGTTCATAGAGAAGCTTCTCTGGAAGGGGGAGAGAGAGACATCAGCTCAGCTTAAGGAAGAGCTTTTTCTAACAACCAGACTTGTCCAGGGACAACAAGCTGCCTGAGCGGGACTTGGGTTCTTGTCACTGCGGGTATGTGACCATTTGAAAGGATTAGAGAGTCTTCAAACCATCAGCTAGGGAAAGGGGTGTTGGCTTATGTGTCTTTCAAGGTGCCATACAACCTTGAGATCCTGTGAATTGCAATTCTATTTATGAGGGTTTTATCCAATGGATAGAATTGGATTTTTTTTAATTAATTAGAGGATTGGCATGATCAGTTATTTTTAAATTTCTCATAACTCTTCCCACGAACTTTCTGCAGTTTGTTGGATCTTCTCTGCATTGTGAGTCCCCAGGGCATTGTCCTATCAGAAAATCTGCAGAGCCTCCAACCTATGGGTAACCAGCACATCTCGGTCTCCTTCCTCCCAGCCTTTTCCTAAGAAGCTACAGTCCCACTTCCTACCACCCTGGGCCCCTTTACCACTTGGTTACCTTTTGATTGTCTTTGCTTCCAGATGACGCAAATGCCCGCCATGAGGAGAAGCCCCAGGACAGCCAGGACCACAGCAAGAGCCACTGCTAAGGGGGAGATCCTCCCTGGAGATGGGGCTGAAACAGAACCACCAGTGACCACCCTCAGGAGATATCTCAGAGCTTCTTCCAGGCCAAGGGTCGCACATCCCAACGGTCTCTGTCACCTCTAGGGTAAGGTGTCCGCTTTTGGCGGGACAGTCCCGATTTTTAACCATTAGTCCCGAGCCTGCAGCATTTTTAAAAGTCCCGATTTATCTTTCCAAAAATCGGGACTGTCCCGCCAAAAGCGGGACGTCTGGTCACCTTACTCTAGGGAGAGACCTCCAGCCAAGATCAGTGAGGGTGTTTGCTTCTCTAAGTACCTCAAACCCTGGATGACTCAGGGATGACTTTACAGCCAGATGGTCATCTCTGAGGAGTGGTTTTGATGGTCCTGCCTGAAGACAATGTGTGAAACTCAGCTTCCCAATCACAACCTCATCCCACCCTATCATTCCAGCGGAATCTTTATCTTTGAGGAACTGGAGGTGCTTCCGCAGTAATCACCTGCAGTCTTCTCTGAGCACCATCCGCCTTCTGCTCAAGTCCTCACTCTGCTGGGGAACAGCCATCAGCGACCCCTTTGCCCTGAGCTGTGTCAGCGGGGGCAAAGCTACTTCTGTGAGGCTACAGCAGCAGGCCTAGAGCCTGGACAGGAGAAAGGAAAGAAGAAATGGAGACAAAAAAGGCGCAGAAGAAGCACTATGACACGTGGCAAAGAGTCTAAACTAGGTGTGAGTCCTTGCTCATCCTCCGTGGGACCCTAAGCAGGAGACTGGATTGGAATGGGGGGTTGAGGACAAATATGTGATACCTTAATCAATAAAGAATTAAAAAAAAAAAAAAAAAAAAAAAAAGCAGGAGACTGAGCCTCTCCGAGCCTGGCTCATCATCTGTAAAATGGGGATCATCGTAAGCTCAGTCTCACTGGGCTGTGACAGACTTACAGGAGGAGGGTGTAAAGTGCTCAGCACCGATGAGAGGCAGTGGCAGTAAGAAGAGAGGAGAGGTGAGAGAGAGAAAGGGTTTAGCTGACATCAGCGATCCTTCCTCTCCTGGGCCCCAGGCCACACTCTTTCTTTCTTGGCTCTAAAACCACCGTTCTTTGCAACATGGCTCCATGTTTCAAGGGTCTTGAAAAGGTTCCTAACCCTTTGATGCATTAATTCTACTTCTAGGAACTCATTCTAAGAAAATAATCAGAATCAGTTCCCAAATTATGTGCAAAGTTGTTCACTGCACTGTTATAGGAAAAGTCTAAACAAGTGGTCTAAACAAAAGGCAAACCGTGGCTCTCGAACCACATGCGGCTCTTTGGCCCCTTCAGTTTTTAGCAAAGGCCAGCTTAGGAGTACCCTAATTAAGTTAATAATAATGTGCCTACCTATATAGTTTAAGTTCAAAAAAATTTGGCTCTCAAAAAAATTTTTTTAATTGTTGTACTGTTGATATTTGGCTCTGTTGACTAATGAGTTTGCCAGCCACTGGTCTAAATCATCCAGATATCAAGAAATAGGACTCTGATTAATTTTGCTATGCTATACCCTCACCACGAAATACTATTCGCCCTTAAAAATCTGTTGCAGAGAACTGCTTAAGGACATGAGCAAAAAAAAAAAAAAAAAAAAAAAAATGTTCATGGCCTTGTAAGTGGAGGGGAAAAACACCTAGGCAGAAGAATATGTATTAATACACACTCAGAGATGCACCCATGAAAGAAATTCTAAAGAAATGCCCCAAAGCCGAGACTGGTTTGGCTCAATGGATAGAGCGTCAGCTTGGGGACTGAAGGGACCCAGGTTCGATTCCGGTCAAGGGCATGTTACATTGGTTGCGGACATATCCCCAGTGGGGGATGTGCAAGAGGCAGCTGACCGATGACTCTCTCTCATCGATGTTTCTAACTATCTCTCTCCCTTCCTCTCTGTACAAAATCAATAAAATATAAAAATAAAAAAAAAGAAATGCCCCAAAATGTTAGCAGTGGCTCTCTACAGTTTATGAAATCAGGCCTTTTTTTTTTTCTTTTTCTTTTAATTAAAAAAAAAAATCTTGTATTTTTTAAAGTTCTCTATAAGAAATGTGTCATTCTTAGTATTTAAAAAATGCAAAAATTCTTTATAAAGTTTGCACTTGGGTAGGAGTTTTCTCTGGAGCCTGTGTTCTGCCCCGGCGGGTACCTGCTATGACCATGGCCGTGGTCTTCTCCTGGCCCAGGGCATCGTTGCGGATGGTGCAGGACACGCTGCCCACGGTGCTGTCCCTGACTTTGCTGGAGACGGCGGTTTCGAAGAGCCCCGCGTCGTCCAGGGAGAGGGCCTGGGGCTCCGATGGAAGCACCCTGCCGTGAGGGTCTCTCCACTCGGCCCACGGCCGTGGGAACCAGCCCGCCGACCTGCACACCAGCTGGATCCATCCCGCGTCGTAGCCCTTCACGTGGATGTAAGGGTCGGAGCCTAGAACTGGAAAAGGAAAGGCCGCTGGCAGGGCCTCGGCAAGATCCCGGACCCCGCCAGGGCCCTCCTCTGGGTCCCAAGGCGGCTCCTGGGGAGCAGGCCGGTCATTGCTCCGATGCCTGCTCTCTCCCCAGCCCACCCCAAGGGATGAGACGGTATCCGGCTGCACGCTAGCACCTCGCCAAACCCTCCTCCGCCCGGCACGGCATCCATCACCCGCCCGCCTCTGAAGAGGACCCACCTGCCACCTGCAGGACCACGGTGCCCTCCCGGCTCAGGTTGGCGATGCGGACCTGACACCGGTACGGCCCCCGGTCCTCCAGCCGGACGTGGCGGATCTCCAGCGTGACGTTTCCCTCCAGCGCGTCCCTCTCCAGCGTCGTCCTCCCCTTAAACTCCGGCACCACGTCCTCCTCGCGGACCTTGTCCTCCCGGAACACGTGGACCACCTGGGAGCGCCGCCGGGGCAGGGACCGCAGCCATCGCACCTCCGTGAGCGTCGGGACGGACCAGAGCGAGAGCGGGCAGAGCAGCCTGGCTGTGCCCCCTAGCGGCGCCAGGTGGAACTGGCCGGACTCCCCTGTGCGGTGGAAACGAGAAAGGGACAGCGCCGTCTGGGAGGGATGCTGGATGATGGAGATGGAGATCACCTGGGGAAAGGCTCCTAGCGAGCCTGGGAAGGGCATTGGAAAGGACTGGGGTTCGGACAGAACCCCGGAAGAAAGAAGGCCTGGGTCAGATGGCCCAGGCAGGGAAGGAGGTCAGGAACTCCTACCTGACACGTGGATGGGCAGCTGCAGGAAGGCCAGGGTGATGAGGCAGCTGGAGAGCCGGGAGCCAGAGGAACTTGCTTCCTCCATCCGAACTAGGAGGACAGATAGGGAGACACTAGAGAAGGTTGGCGAGCTTGATGTGGGAAAGCTACAACCTAGGAGGTGGGGTGGAGATGGAGGTGGCATAGCAGGTGCTCTGGGACCACCCAGATCAGAATTCACGTTCCAGCTCCGCTACTTACCTTCGTGTAACAGTGTGGCTTCGCTTCCCTGAAACTCCCTCCATCTTTTATAAAATATATATTTTATTGATTTTTTTTACAGAGAGGAAGAGAGAGGGATAGAGAGTTAGAAACATCGACGAGAGAGAAACATCGATCAGCTGCCTCTTGCACACCCTCTACCGGGGATGTGCCCGCAATCAAGGTACATGCCCTTGACTGAAATCGAACCTGGGACCTTTCAGTCCACAGGCCGACCCTCTAGCCACTGAGCCAAACCGGTTTCAGCATCCTTCCTCCATCTTTATTTTATTTTTATCTTTATTTGTTTGTTTATTTATTTTGTGGATGAGACAAAACTGATGTTTCCTTGCAGAATTATTGTGAGCATTGAAGGAGAAAAGTGCTCAGCATGAAGGCTGGCATCATGGTTAAGTGTCTAAATGCCATGAGTGAGAACCAAGGTGAGACACTGTGTGTGCCCTGGAAGGCAGAGGGGGGAGTCTGGAAGGTGGAGAATTTATGCCCAGAACTAACATGGTAAGGACCAGAGTAGTGACCTCTTTTTGCTAGGGTCCCAGGTCCCAGGCCAAGTTTGGGAAGGTCTCCAGGCCAATTTTCCACCCAAGGTGGGGCCTGGAGCTCCCTGCTGGCCTTCTCAGTTTGACTCTTGAGAAACAACAAACCAAGGCAGTGAGGTCCCTCCATTTCATTATGAAGACACCGATCTTACAAACTTAGGGTCTGAAGTTAGAAAGACCTGGGTTCAAGTCTCAGCTCCCCCAGGTACCAGGGCTGTGTCCCTGGAGAGTTGTACAACATCTGCGGACCTCCAGGATCATCTATAAAGGAGGACCCTTCTTCCAGGGACTGTGAGGGTTCAAGGGCATGTGAAGAACTTGCCGCAGCCCAGCTGGTGAGGCTCAGTGGTTGAACATTGACCCATGAACCAAGAGGTCCCTGGTTCAATTCCCGATGAGGGTACATGACAGGGTTGCAGGTTCGATCCCCTGTAGGAGGCGAGCAGAGGCAGCTGATTGATGTTTTTCATCAATGTTTCTATCTCTCTATCTCTTTCCTTCCTCTCTTAAAAAAAAATCAATGAAAACATTTTTTTTTTTTTAATTTGCCAAAAATCCCTGGCAGAACAAGTACCCAATAAAGGTGCTGTGATCCATGACAGGCGTGAGCACTGAGTATATTAACCACAGGGAAACCCTAAGAGACCCCTTACTCTAAAACTCTTTTCTACCTACTTGACTGCCTGAAATTCCTATAGCAGGAAACAAATCTTTCATGCCACCATTGGAGAAGAAATATAATAAGATACTTTAGGAAGAGAACATCTCTTACTTTCTCTCCAGCACTTCAGATCCTTTCTGAAGAGGAGGGGTGTGGTGAAAGTTACCAGGCCGGTCCCTGCAGGTCTTGGAAAAGGACAAAGATGGGACTTGGAGGAGGTGGGGCTGTCCAAAAGACGCTGGAAACTGAAAATGACTTACGCTTTGAACACATTTCCAATTCTGTTTTTGTTTTGTTTTGTTTTGTTTAGGTTTTTGTTTGTTTTTATGGCAAAGAGCACAATGGTTTAGGGATATTTTGTTTTTATTTTATTTTTAAAAAATATATTTATATTGATTTTATAAAGAGAGGGAGAGGATAGAGAGATAGAAACATGAGTATGAGAAAAACGCATCCATCAGCTGCCTTCTGCATGCCCCCTACTGGGGATCGAGCCCACAACTCAGGCACATTGTGGGGAGGGGCGGGGGGCGGAATCATGGGTTGAAATTCAACCACTGAACCAAACCCACTGAGCTTTTTCTTTTTTCAAAATTTTTCTCACTGGGCCTTTTTATTTTTAAACCTCTCCTGAGGATATTTTTCCCATTGATTTTTTAGAGACAGAAGAGAGGGAGGGAAAGGAGGGGGGAGAGAGAGAAACATTGACAGGGTGAACCTGCAACCGAGGTATGTTCCCTTGGCCGGGAATCGAACCCTTTGGTCCTAGGGCTGATGCTCTAACCATTGTGCAAACCAGCCAGGGCTGTTTTTGTTTTTAATCATGATTCATACAGCATACTTCTCTACTCCCCCAGTGTTGCAAAAAGCCCCATAACACTAGGACACAGTGAGGTTAAGATTATAGTTAGGATATATATGTTTTTTGGCTTCAATCCCACTCATTTTTCTGCAGGTTGCCAGCTACTCAGAAACTGAACAGGAGAAGTTCGGTAAATGAGAAAAGCTCTCTACCTTATCAATTATTATTGAAGGTGGAAGCAGGCAGGGCCCAGGATCCCCTGGAGTTACCCCAAACCCCAACACCCTCAATTAAAAGGTGCTTTTGAAACACACCCTGAGTGGACATGTCCAGAGTAGCACGGAGCTCCAAACCGAGCCGGGGCTGCCTGAAGTCAAATAAGAGGGGCCCTCCCCCCACCATATTCCCCTCATCCTAAATTCGGATTGTTTATTGTGATCAAGAGGACAGGCTCTGCGGTCAGCCTGGGGCCAGGCCCCGGCTCTGCCATTACCAGCTGCGTGACCTTAGACAGTCTAGTTTACTCCTCCCAATCCTCTCTCATTCACACGTAAAATGGAGTTAATGATAGTACCTACTTCGTAGATAGGGCTACAGTAAGGACTCATAGAAAACACATGTGAAGTGATTTGCACCACATTCTAAGAATAAAAAGGCAAGTGAAGTTGAAACCGGTTTGGCTCAGTGGTAGAGTCTGCAGACTGAAAGGTCCCAGGTTCGATTCCGGTCAAGGGTATGTACATTGGTTGTGGGCACAATCCCGGTAGGGGGTGTGTAGGAGACAGCTGGTCAGTGTTTCTCTCTAATTGACATTTCTAGCTCTCTATCTCTCTCCCTTCCTCTCTGTAAAAAAATCAGTTTAAAAAAATTATATATATATATATATATATATATATATATATATATATATATATATATATATATTTATAAAGGCAAGTGAAGTCTTTCTATCAGATGGTCACTCTGGGTGACAAGGGCACCGAGGTGGTTTCAGCCAGGGAGTCTCCCTGAAGCACATCATCACGTCACTGTTAAGCAGCCAGAAATGGACTTTTCCACTCTTGTCATCAGGGAAGTGCAGATTAAGACCACAGTTAGATATGGTTTTGTCTTCCCTGAAATTATCAAATATTAAAAAATAATAATGCCCAGAGTTATTACACATGTGGGAAAATGACTCTCTTGCCCAATGTAAATCAACTTTCGCAAGGGCAATTTAGCAATAAGGATCAAGTGACTTATAAATATGTGAAAGTTTTAATCCAGTAATTTTACTTCCAGAAAAGAATCCTATGGAAATAAATAAGGATGTGCATAAGGATTTGTTGGTGAGGATGCTCATCACAAAGCTTCTTATGAAAAGGAAAAATTAAAAACAACCTAAAAGTTCATTAAAATGGGAATGATTAACTAAATATTGCACATCCTTGCAATGAAATACTACGCAGCATTTCGTATACACATGCTAAAACAATCTTTTTTTAAAAAAAATATATTTTATTGATATTTTACAGAGAGGAAGGGAGAGAGATAGAGAGCTAGAAAGGTCAATGAGAAACATCGACCAGCTGCCTCTTGCACATCTCCTTCTGGGGATGTGCCCGCAACCAATGTACATGTCCTTGACCGGAATCGAACCTGGGACCTTTCAGTCTGCAGACTGAGGCTCTACCACTGAGCCAAACCGGTTTCAGCCTAAAGCAATCTTTAAGAGCATTTGGGCCCTAGCTGGTTTTGCTCAATGGACAGAGCATCAGCCTTCGGACTGAAGGGTCCTAGGTTTGATCCCCATCAAGGGCACATGCCTGGGTTGTGAGCTTGATTCTCAGTAAGGGGTGTGCAGGAAGCAGCTGATCAATGATTCTCCCTCATCATTGATGTTTCTATCTATCTCTCCCTCTCCCTTCCTCTCTGAAATCAATATATATATATATATATATATATATATATATATATATATATATATATATATATATTTTTTTTTTTTTTTTTAATGAGCATTTGGGAAGTTTTCACTGTAACCCAAACAGTAACTTTAAAAAGCTATGGATAGTATGATCCAATTTAAGGAGAAGATGCTTAGCAAAAAGGCAAGAGTGTAGAGAGTAAACAGTGGTTACTTCTAGGGGTGAAGAAAAGCATTACAGCAGAAGTTCCCTTAATAACTCCATGCAACTTCAGAAGACCCTGCAAATCTACAAATGACCAGTCTGAAAGCACACAGCACAGGACCTGGCTAGTAGTAAGGACTAGGCTAATGACAGCTATAATAATAATGACAATGACAATAATACTTGAATGAGAGTCTTTAGACAAAGCCCACCCAGGCTCCTTGTCACTCTTCCCCTTTTGTGCTTCCCATTTCCCATTGCCTCGTTTCGTCCTTTAAAATGGCTTGTGCCCGGCCAGCATGGCTCAGTGGTTGAGCATCGATCTATGAACCAGGAGGTCACAGTCCAATGTCCAGTCAAGGCACATGCCCAGGTTGTGGGCTCGATCCCCAGTATGGGCATGCAGGAGGCAGCCGATCAGTGATTGTCTCACCATTGATGTTTCTATCTCTCTCTCCCTCTCCCTTCCTCTCTGAAATCAATAAAAGTATGTATATATTTATATTGTTAACTGTTTTTCTCCTGAGTAAGGAGAAAGGGGATAGCTTCTACAACGAACCTGAAGATCTTGAGAACGTTAAAGGACTGAAAAGAATGAAGAAGGGGGAAGGGAGGAGCACTCACCACCTTTGGGATCAAGGGCCCTTTGTGTGGCAGAGCTGGAGTTTCTGAGCTGCGGACCCTCCCTCCATCCAGCCAGGGAGGTCAGGC